GCTGGCTGGAGGGCCTGCTCTCGGCGGCGGCCGTCACTCTGTCCGTCTGGGGACTGGCGCTGGCTCTGACCGGGCCGCACGCCCTGCCCGGCGGACAGATATTCGGGTCAGTCGGAGGGGAGGGGAGGGGGACGGGAGGGATGTGTCATTGTGTTGGGGACGGGGCTGGTGTGACTGAGGGATAGGAAATGGGAGGGACTAGGGAGCAATGTGTAAATTCACTGGTGAAAACATTTCAAATGCTGGTCACTCAAGAAAGTCGACAGGTCATTGAATTGTCATAGAAATTGTAATTTAGTTGTTGATTCGACACTTTGTTGATTGTTCTTTTTCTGTGTCTGCAATATTCTGTGCTTCTTGTTACTCTGCCTGGCCGTCGGCTGGCTGTAATATCCCTGTGTATCTCTGTGTGTCCGCAGCATTCTGTGTCTACTGGTGCTGTGCCTGGCCGCCGGCTGGCTGTAATATCCCTGTGTATCTCTGTGTGTCCGCAGCATTCTGTGTCTACTGGTGCTGTGCCTGGCCGCCGGCTGGCTGTAATATCCCTGTGTATCTCTGCGTGTCCGCAGCATTCTGTGCCTTCTGGTGCTGTGCCTGGCCGCCGGCTGGGTGGCCGCCCTGGTCCGTCTGCCGCCGCTGCTCGGTATGCTCATCATGGGACTGTGTCTGGCCAACGTGCCCGGTCTGCGGTCCGTGGCCTCCTCCATTCCGGAGGGCACCTCGTCACTGCTCAGGTGAGATTGAGTGACGTGAGAGATACCTCCATTCCGGAGGGCACCTCGTCACTGCTCAGGTGAGGGAACTGGGGAAAGTGGTACCTCCTTAGCTAAGACTATGCATGACACACATCACGTGAATGGTCACATATTCCACCCGATTCGGTGATGAGTGCAGATGCCGCCAGATCCCTACCGGTGTACCCCCTGGCCTAGTCAGACCTCGTCCGACTTTTTTACCTGCTGATCTCTGCTGATTGTGCTAACCTCTGATGACCCCTGCTGACCTGTAGTGACCCCCCTCTGCCCCCCTCCACAGGAACATGGCGCTGATGGTAATTCTGACGCGGGCCGGCCTGGGTCTGGACGCGGCCGCGCTGCGCCGCCTCAGTCTGGTGGTGCTCCGGCTGGCGTTCACACCCTGTCTGTGTGAGACGCTGACGGTCGGCGTGGCCGCCCACCTGCTGCTCGGCTTCCCCTGGATCTGGGCCTTCATGCTCGGGTAAGTTCCGGGCTCCCGGCCCGTTAGGTCTGCCTCTGGGCCTTCATGCTCGGGTAGGTGGCGACTGGCGGGGCAGCGAGTGAAGTTGAGGTGGGGTGTTGAGGTGTTATTTGAGCTGTGAGGAGGCTGGTTATTTTCGCTGGCCTGGTAGTCAGGTGAGCGATTGCTGCCCTCAGTTTATGATGTCATTGATGTGTTTGCTTTGGATTTTATTGGAATGAGTTGCATGATCTTGCCTAATATATTTGTGTCTAAACATTTCGCTGTGTGTCTGGCATCCCCCAGGTTTGTACTGGCCGCTGTCTCGCCCGCGGTGGTGGTGCCCTGCCTGACACTGATTGTCTGACCCCATCTGACCCTGTATGGGCTCCCCCAGGTTTGTACTGGCCGCCGTGTCTCCGGCGGTGGTGGTGCCCTGCCTGCTCTCCCTCCAGCAGCAGGGATACGGCGTGGAGAAGGGCGTGCCCACGCTGGTCATTGCCGCCGCCAGCGTGGACGATGTGCTGGCCATCTCCGGCTTTGGAGTGCTGCTCGGAGTCAACTTCTCACAGGGTCAGTCATTTCTGGCGACAAATGCACGCCGGTCGTGTGTGTTAATACGGAGCTCACGAACCGCACAGGGACTCAAAATTTTGTTTTGTTAGAATAAAGTCGATTTTTAGCTCTTTTTTATTATACCAGCTTTGTGAATCTTGGCTTTGGGGCCTTGCTTGCCTGCTTACTGTTTTTCGAACTTACTCGTTTTATTATTTATGCCGCTATTTTCCAGACTGCGCCCACCACTCCCCCTTCCTCTCTCGTCTTTCATTCCCCTCCCCTATCACTCACCTCCCCCTCTCCCCTTTTAGGCACCCTGACGGAGAAGCTGCTCTCTCTCTCTCTCTCTCTCTCTCTCTCTCTCTCTCTCTCTCTCTCTCTCTCTCTCTCTCTCTCTCTCTCTCTCTCTCTCTCTCTCCCTCTCTCACGCCTCCCCTCTCCCCTGTAGGCGCCCTGACGGAGAAGTTGCTCTCGGGTCCGCTGGAGGTGGTGATGGGTCTGGGGTACGGCGTGGTGGGCGGCGTGCTACTCTGGTATCTGCCGGGCGCCTCCAACAGTCGACTGGCGCTGCTGCGACTGCTGCTCCTCACCTGCACCGGCCTGCTGGCCCTGTTTGGCAGTCAGAAGGTGAGCGGGGACGGGGAGGGTAGGTGGGGCCGCCAGGGTGACTGGGTGAGGGTGGGGAGGGGCGGATGGGGTCACCGGGGGAGGGCTGGGGGTGGGAGTGGGAAGGGTTAGAGTGCGGCGAAGAAGTGGGTAGCAAATTCAAAAACATGTAGGCTGGATGGAGTATCGGAAGACGGCCCATTGTTGGGTGGCGCTTTAATGTCCATTCAGGTAAATGCTATCTGTAGAGTGTACCTAGATATGAGGATTGCATGGTCTTCAGGCGAGGTTTGCTGATGTTTCCGTTCTATTTTAGGTGGGGTATGCCGGCGCGGGCGCGCTGGCCGCCCTCACCCTGGCGTTTGTGGCCGGACATGGCTGGAGAAGGAGCGGGTGGACCGGAGACACGGTGAGTAAAGGGGAGGGCACGTTACGGGGGGTGCTTGGCTGTTAGGTTCTGAGTGGTACTAGTTGATGGACAACCTCAAGACATCAGTAACGTGAACATTCGTTTACGTCTTCCTTGTATGTGTCGCTAACACGATCAGAAGGACGTAGATAACCAGGACATTCTCTAACGAACAACTCTAATTGCTCTCTGCAATTTGTGGCAGATTGTTCCGGCGTTTCATATAACCCACGTCAATGTGTGCATAGCTGCATCTCTAACCTCTGTGTATCCAATGTGCCCGCCAGAACCCCGTGAGCGATGCCTACTCGGTGCTCTGGTTCGTCTTCCAACCACTGCTGTTCGGAGCTGCAGTTCCAACTCTGTCACTATATGTCCGTTGTGTCCCACAGAACCCAGTGAGCGATGCCTACTCGGTGCTCTGGTTCGTCTTCCAACCGCTGCTGTTCGGTCTGATCGGCGCCGAGATCCAAGTGAACGCGCTCCGGGCAGACACCGTCGGACTGGGGCTGCTCGTGCTGTTTATAGGTGAGAGGGAGGGAGAGAAGATGGGAGGGAGGGAGGACGAGGGAGGGGTCCGGGCAGACACCGTTGGACTCGGCCTCGGGCTACTCGTGCTGTTCATCGGTGAGAGGAAAGGAGGGAGGTGAGGAGGGAATGCCAGAGAGGGCGTTTGAAGCTTGTCCTTCAGCCATTTGTCTCCTTAGAAACTGAACGTCCTGGACAGTGTGAAAAGAGCGTTTGTATGGATCGCCGTCTGTCTGTCCCAGCAGCCGTCACTACCGCCTCTCCGGAATCAGTATCCCGTCAAGGCTGTGCTGTATTGAGAGTGATGTTCCAACTGACACTGACACTGACGAAGACTAACTAGTGACTATGACACTGACTGACGTTGAGCCTTTCCATCTCCAGGCCTGACGGTGCGGATGGCGGTGACGTTTTTCGTCGTGCTCGGCGGCGGGCTGACCGTCAAGGAGCGACTCTTTGTCACTCTGGCCTGGCTGCCAAAGGCCACAGTGCAGGTCAGTAATTCACGGCGACGACGGCTGTTCAAGCTTACCATTTAGGTATAATAATGTCGTCCGATTCTTGGTGACCCGTAGATGTGTCGACCTCTGTACGTCGTTTGAGTACGTTTACCTGCACCGTCGTCGCTCGCCGTTTTCCGCCGCCACTGCATTTCCACTCCCATTTACTCACCCTACCTCCCCCGCAGGCCGCCATCGGTCCGGTGGCGCTCGACTTTGCCCGCCAGTACGCCCCCACGCCCGAGAACATCAGCCTCGGCGAGCAGGTCAGTCTGTGGCGGGGATGGGGAGCCGGGAGAGCCGCGACTACTGAGTGGTGCTCAGCGATGGACATGGACATTGAACAAGGCATTGATACTTGGATGTGTTTCACACGGCATCTAGCCCGAGCAGTCCATATCCGTCGGAAAATATAAGTGTCTTGGGAGTCAAGCGCCGAGCACATGAATTATAGCCCTTCTCGATTGTTTTACTGGGGCGAGACCGTGATCACAAAGTAGTGTTCACTGATCAATATCCATGTCCCTATGTTCCAATGTTATTGCCTGCATTCTTTTCTCACCAGTAATTATTTTATCACTTTGCCCTAGCTCACGTTGGTGTCTGCGTTTCACCAGGTGGTGGCTATCGCTGTGCTGGTGATCCTGGTGACGGCTCCGCTGGGCGCGGCGGCCATCATGCTCTCTGCTCCGCGCCTCCTCTCCAAGGCCTCCCAGGTGGGGCCTGACGACAAGGAAGTGCAGAAAGTGGCCAACGGGGACAACACCGCCTGAGGGACCCGCTCCCCTCCCTCACCCTCGCTGCTCTAGTCTAGCTGTAGTCTGTACGGGTCCAACGCGCTCCCCAAACCCCGCTATACCACCGATATCACGTGCCATGCGCGGGGTGGCGCGCGCGCGCTCTCTCTCTCTCCTCTGTGCAATATGTGTGGCATTTTGGCGCTCCGTTGTGGCGCGCCGCCCGCTCGCTGTGCCCTCCCCCCGGGAGGTCTCTGGCTGTGGCAGATCACTGAGCTGAAGGTCACGTGCGTCGGATAACGGTTCATCGACGACCGGTCGACGGAGAAGGAACTCACGGGTCCTGCGGCCGATAACTGTTGTTTGTTGTTCGATATGCTCGTTCTAAATATATCTGGGAGTTTTTGGCGGGTGTTCAGGCGGAAGAAATGGGGCAAATACCAGCAGAATACCAAACCCGCAGTATTTGGGCATTTCACAAGTTTATTATTCAGTCACATTTGTTATAAATACGGGCCAAAAACAGCCCTCATACACTCACAATTCGCAGTAAAAAGTCTGGCGCCCCTGGCGCTCCCCAGTCCACCCGGGCCGGCGGGCTCCCCCCGCCCGCTACCCCCAACAATAGTACAACGTGCAGACGACGCAGCCCAGTGAATAGCGCCGCGGTGTTAGGTGAATAAGAGACGACACTGCCGGGGGGCAATGAAGGGTGATTGTGATACCGCAAACATAACAACGCAACGAGTTAGACATCAAGCTCCGCGGCGGCACATACCAGTGGCGGTTACTCTGTGAGTGTGCGATGGCGCGAGGACAGGTAATTATACTCAGACAACAGGGACCTGCGCGGTCCCCTGCTATTGTGCGACATTCTGGAATGTTAGCGGTATATCGGCGACAACCACCGCTAGTAAACTGTAAGCGGCAGATAATATATGGGTTCCTTTGGTTGTCGTGCACAGCTCTCTCTCAGAAGCGGTGAACGACCAACATCAGTCTACCCCGTGTACAAGGCATCGCAGTGGGGCCCACGTCAGCCGTAACTTACACACACTGTGCGAAATCCCAGCGCAACTGCGCGCCACTGCAACTCTGGACGGATTCACAAGGGCCCGTACTCGTAAATGGACGGATTAACACTGTTCTCGCTCATATCTGGACGGATTAATACAGTCAGAGCTCATGTCTGGACGGATGAATACAGTAGCTCATATCTGGACGGATTCACTCTGCCACCGTCTTGCCGCCGTCCCCTCGGGACGGCCTGCGGCGTCTTTACGCCACAAACCCGTTAGCTGTCCAACAGACCTCGGTCAAACGACCATCAGACCTTAGTCGACTGTCAACCAGATCGCAGACTGTTACATTCAGTCAGCAGACCGAGCTCAGTCTGTCACATTCAGTCACCAGACCATCCTCTCGCCTTTCACCACAGTAGTGTCTTTCACAGCGGGCGGGTGATAGCGGCCAACTAGCGAATCACACGACGCCAGCGCCCCCTATCCACCCATCGCCAGCGCCGCCTACCGGCCGGCGGCCAAAACTAGCGTTGCGACGAGCAGTGACGGCCACTGAAGGGAGATGGTACCGGCGGCGTCCGGATCTCCGGTCTGCTGACCAGACGTCTCGGACTCCTGGGCGCACTGGACCGGGTCGCAGTCGTCGCCCTCGCAGATGTCACAGAGGGTCGCCTGGATCGGCAGGTAGAACTGACGAGCCATCCGGGCTGTGGGGCGGAGACCAGAGTGAGTTTGACTGGGCAGGTGAGACGCGACGTGGACAATACCAGAAGCCCTGTGGCGACCAAAGTATAACATGAAATCATACCTTGGACGAATATAAAAGCGCTCAACCTAGATGACCTCGCATGACAAAAAGTCGCGATGCGCTAAATCGATGCTTATGCTTCCATCATCAGAGCCAACACAAAATGCTGGTATGTCGATCAGGACTTCCCCACCCCGGGGCTCGTCCGGTCCGGCACATCCGTCACTTACTCGGGTCGTAGTAGTCGTAGACGGTGACTGCCGACCTCTTCTGGCGGGCCACCTTGGCCGTGTAGTAGCCGAGGACCGTGGGGCACGTCTCGTACTGGGAAATCTGTAACAAGGATGGATACACACTGTACTGGGAGGTCTAAAGCAAAGTCTCAGTAATCTAATACCTCACTGTGCAACCACCAAACAATATCGATTTTTTGTTCACAATTTACAAAGCTCATTCATCACGACCCTACATCCCTCACTAAGCAGTCAGACCAGCTCTCCCACCAGACCTCCTCTGGACCCTATGTCCGCCCCAGACCGCGTCCCTCCCGGTCAAACTAGATGAGCTCGTCCCTGACCTCGTCGAAGTATATGACGACCTTGGTATCTCCGTCGGCGGTCTCGACGCGTTTGACGCTGCGGTACTTGTACAGCCCGGGGATGGACTGTTCGTCCACGGTGAAGCCGGACGGTAGCTCGATCTCCATCACGGCCATGTTACTCGAGTCGCCCTCGCCCTCCCACCTGCAGAGGGTAGAGGGGAACGTCAGACTGATTACAGAGGGAGGGCAGCTCGATCTCCACACCGCAATGTTAACTACTCGAGTCGCCCTCGCCCTCCCACCTGCAGAGGGTAGAGGGGAACGTCAGACAGATTGGACAGCACTGTTCCTTTGTCAAAGTTCAGAAAAAAACAGTGAATCGCGCTTCATTGAACGTGTAACTTACTCTTGCAGCAGATAATCATCAATAATATCAACATCTCAACTGCCCTGACACGCTTTCACAAAGGAATTTCTATTTCTTTTTGCCTCAACAACAGCACAAACGGAAGAGAGCCTAGACATTCGTCTCCTTCGCTCGGTGTAAGCGTCCTATCACCACCCACGCCCACTGATCGGTACTCCCCCTCCCCCTCTGCCCGCCGTCTTACTGACCCCGTGCAGGCGCTGACTTTGATGTGCCGCTTGTTGCTGAGTCCGTCCATCCGGGGGCTGAGGAAGAAGCTCGGGTCGGGCCCAGTGACGTCCACGTGGTAGCGGTGTGTGACCTGGACGACGGCCAGTCCGGAGCCGGTGGCACCCACCTCGACCGTGTCCACCTCCGGGTCCGGCAGCTGCAGACGGGGGGCAGAGCGGGGTCAGATAGGGGTCAGACGCGGTCAGACGGGGTCAGACGGGGGCAGACTGGGGTCAGAGCTGCGGTCAGACGGGGGCAGAGCGGGGTCAGAGAGGGGTCAGAACCGCGGTCAGAAGGGGTCAGAGCTGCGGTCAGGAGCCGGGCCATACTGGACACACAGGAGGGTCAGACAGGTCGGAACAGAGGTCTGATGTGGGGTCAGAGCGGGTTCAGAGCGCGTTAGATACGGGACAGGAGGGGCTAGATGAGCTTGACCAGGGGTAAGATGGGTTAGTACTGAAAACATCAGATATGGTCATGTGGGTTCAGAATTTAGTGGTGTCAATCGGTTACCAATATTTCGGTATACCGATACCGAACCAATACCGATTCGGTATTCGGTATTATATACTAAAAGCATTTGGTATTTTGTCGGTATCATGAAAATCAACTACTGTCATAAAATATTTGAAAAGCATTTTTTATATACCTTCTGAACTCAAATTTGATTTTGCTAAATGACACTGGATGAAGAAAAATGGCAATCATGACCCATTTCTCCCAAATACATGATGTCCTAACAAATGGGCAAACACATCAACTGTAATATCAAATACATCAGTCTACCAATGTTAAATGGCAACTTATCAGTGTTAGCAAATTCCAATACCATGAGGATAATTATCCTACAAAGAAAGCCATTGTGCAAGACATTAACATGAATTAATGTTTAACTCACTGTATGCTGGAAAACATACTTTAACCACCTTTCTCAAAATTTCCAAAGCATTTATTAGCAACAAATTTGAATTTGTTTTGAGGAGTCTGTGATTGATCCTTGACCTTGTCTTCCTTTCCATTTTACTGCAATGCAATTACATTATCCAAAACCCTGTTAAATACAGCACTAGCTTCACCATTATCATTTAATATTTTAGGCAGCATTTGTCACTTCATCATCACCCGCATCACCCCACAAATCTTCAACTTTGACTTCGCTCAACTTCAAAAAGCCTTGTAGTGAGCGATGCTGTCATGATCCTGTGGATAATTTATTTTCTTCAATTAGTGTTCTCTTTTCTGCTCTCTCAACAGATACAGATCGCTAGCAATTTAATCATAAGCTTCATAAAATATAATTGGCTTTTGGCTTGACTCGCACACAGCAGTTTCAAAACTGAACACATCTAAAACATTTCAATGCCGCAGCTGCGCCAGGTTGAGGAACCGATATAGCTCCTTTTTCTGGTACTTCATTTTTCAGCGAAAGCGGCCTACAACTTTCTTGAATTAATTTTAAGATGTCAAAATTTATACAAGAAATTTTGATTCAAGTGGACTATAAGCAAAAAAGAAAAGAAAACTTTATTTTATACAGTTTAATCATTAATGCAAATGGCCGCCGCCTGTAAGGCCGCCATTATGGAAGAGATGACACGTGACGTGTGTCAATTCCTCCGTAAAATTATGGACATTTTACTAAGATTTCATCGCGATATCATTACAGTGGTGTCTGCTATCTATCAGTGTGCCTCGTAAGTAATTATTTATCAAGTTTTGTTGTGTTACACATTTGTGGATGAAGAAAAATTGGCTGCGTCAGTATCGTCACCAATCACCATGCTACTTGGGCTGAACTGTAGGTATCATGGGCTTTGTTTACATTAATGGTGTAGCACAAGGTGTAGCCCATCATTGTCAATTGGGTCACCACTTTTGGATCATGATAATACACTTAACCCTGTCTTGACCGGACTCGAAATGAATGACTTGAATTGAAAGAAGGTTTGATGGTTCAGGCATGGACAAGATTCAGGGTTCAAGTTATTTTCCTAACACCTCATGCAGTTGACTTGAATCCACATTCCAGTAAAATAACTGACCTGAATATTTGTTGATAGTTACAAAATAAGTTATAAATGTATTTTTTGCAATGCAAATAATCAAGAAATTGCCTGATTTGTTTTTGTAACCTTATTTCAAAGTATTAGGTACCTTTCAAGGCTTATCATACCTATGTCTTGAGAAAGTTTGAAGCATTTGTTTGATAATACCCTGATTTCGGTATCTAGTCGGTATTTCCCCCTATTTCTGAAAATCGGTTCGGTTTTGGTATACTCTCAGTGGTTTTGGTTGGTATCGGTTTGGTATTGGTTTCCAAAATTTCTGAAATTGACATCACTAGTTCAGATAGATAAGGTCAAATGGGCATCAGATAGGTTAGAACGAGCCAAATAAGAGAATAAGTGGTCAAAGGCCAGGCGATATTGAAGGTAAGAACAGAACCAAGTTATCAAATAACGGAGGTCATGTTAAATGGCATACGATATGCGAAGCCTCCCCCCGTCCCGCGCACACCGCACGGTCCGTACCTCGTATTTCTGCACGGTGAGCGCGTTGGATCGTGTGACGCGCATGTTCTTGCCGCGCGGCCCGAAGATGAACCGGACCGAGACGTCTGTGTCGGCAGACTGGAGAGCGTCGGCGGCCTCTGCCAGCGCAGTCATCCCCACCACCGTGTCCTGAGGGGGAGGCAGATGGGCGTGAGGGCAGGCGGCGAAACCGGGTGGGGATACAGGCTACAGGGTGTCATTTGATCCAATGCACATACATATTTGCGATTCATACCAGAAGGGTTGATACTTGTCAGGCTACTATTGACTGTGAAGTGTAAGAATGGCCACAGACAGTGAGGTCGCCGAAACTTTCTGTAACTTTGTTGAAGTCACCATACGGAGAAATTTAACTAAAATGCATATGTGTCGGTTGTGAGTGAAAGTAGTCCTAAATAAGAGCTGACAAGTCGCCTCACATCTCAGTCACCTGTGGTGATGTAGAACAAAAACACTCTCTGTAATAAATATCTTCTTTCCCCTCGAAATCTCTGCACGGTAAGTGCATCGGAGCGCGTAACTTGTAAAAAGCGTAATTTCCACCCAACTCTCACCTGTGTGCTCTGGAAGCCTCCCATGTCGTTTCGCTGCCTCATGAGCCAGCGGAGGATGGGCAGCGCCTCCTCTCTTTCCCCCCGCTCCAGATAAGTGAGCAGCGCGTAGGACGTCATCTCAATGTCCAGCGGGCGCGGCCGGCCGTACCAGAAGGACGTGTTCTTCAGAGACTCCAGAGGCTTCTCCCACCAACGCATGTCGTCTGACAGAGAACAAAACTCAGAACACGCAATGTAAACAGAACTTGGAACACGCCAGCAATGACGGGATTGAGCCGAGAACAGGCGACAATGACGGAGCAACACGAAACAGCGGGATAGGAACGGTATTTGATATGAATTAATTTGCCTCTGTCGTTGAATCTTTGCTCTTGCTTCAGTCGCGATGACATGAACAAAACAAAACATCAAATCATACCCGTGTGACAAAATCAGTTTAACAGTGAAGCGCCAATGATTCTGCGGTCATGATACCACCGATGTTCCCAGCACAGCGGCCCTCCGTCTCACCTTCCTCGGAGGCCATCCGGCTGAGGCGGGCCAGCGCGCCGGGCGCCCCCGGGTGTCCGGCCTTGGCCAGCGCGTAGGCCACCACGGACAGCTCGTACGGGTCGGTGGGGATGTTCCTGACCAGGTAGTCGATGGCGTTGTTCTTGGCGTTGCTGAACTGGCTGCCCTCCTCCGAGTCGAGGAAGGCGAGCAGCGTGAAGGCGGTGAGCGGGACGCCGCGCGCCGAGCCGCCCTGCATCGGCTGGTGGCTGACGCGGCCCACCTGAGGGGAGGGGGAGGGGAGGAGGACCAGGGTCAGACTCTTAGCGTATGGGGAAGCAGACGGGGATCAGGCAGCGATCAGACATGTAACATACACCGGGGTGGGTTGAGTGAGGTTAACAGCAGCATTGAGACCGGCAGTTCAAGACGGACAGAAGCTCCGTGGGTCAAAACGCCCAGCCTCTGGGATGTTAATTGCCAGGTCCCGTAACGTTAAAGCAATGCAGACAAAACAGTAAATTCTATTTGTTTCCCGTTTTTTTTTTTTTTGTTTGCTTGTTTGTTTTGTTGGGTTAGGCCCTTTCGGTCGACAAGACCATTGTTTCCCGTTCGCCGAAATCGGCACAAATAGCAGCGCCGCTAGGTCTACACTGTCCGAGTTGTGCGGCGGCCACTGACCTCTGGGAAGGATCCGTTGGAGGCCTGGTTATCAGCGAGGAACTTGAGACCCAGCTCCATGACGCTGCCGTCAATCTCGATGTACTCGCGAGCCATGGCGAACGAGCGAATTACAAACGCCGTCAGCCTGCGAGAGACAGGGTCAGAGGTCAGGGTCCAGAGGAGTTAGAGGTCAGGGGTCAAAGGTCAGAAGTTCAGCCAGAGGTCCAGTCAGGTCAGCTGTTGGAACATGAGCAAAATGGTCATGCCCTCCAAGTGGGGTCCGATAAAAAATGATCAAACGTCTTCCAGCGCATACTGATAATTCACTTTGTCGCATTTACCTAAGCACTCAAGACATAAGTGGCAGTCTGCATATGCAATGAATGCAAATCCACACATATCCCAAGAAGGCAGTCCACTCCCGTCCCCTCTCACCATGTGGATCCGGCGTCATCCCTGTCCCCGAACGCCGAGAAGCTGCCGTCCTCCCTGCGGTAGCTCAGCTCGCGCTGGTATCCTGTGCGCATGTTTCCGACGGCCCGCGCCTGCAGACCGGCCGTGATCTGACCCGAGCCGGTCAGGTAGTCCAGAGCCACAATGTTGGGCACGAAGCGCAGCATGTTTTGTTCGCCGCAGCCGTACGGCAGCTGGATGAGACTCTCCAGGTTACCGACGCTGCCGCCCAGAATGTCACCTGCGACAGGAGGAAATGACAGTCAGAGAGTGGTGACGATAAGGTGAAACGGACTTACTTCACCGCACTGTTTAGTATTAATTTTCTTTGTAACCGATAGATAAGCCTTCCCATGACGTTGAGAGGTAGGCTGTACCGCAAAACAAGTTGGTTTACATTTATCCTTATAGATGTCGCTAGTAGTAAGCGCCTGAAGTTATACTGTGCCGCAGGACTCGAAAACGAGATTTTCTCAATAGAACAGCAGAAGCGGAACCATTAAAGGTCAACATCACATCGCGCAATGCTTAAAATTGTCATATAATCCGTCCACACTTTCCAGCGGACTATACAGCCTCACGCCCGCCGTACAGTCCCGGAACACCCACCGATGACGGAGACCTCGACCGAGTTGGATCCATTGACGAAGCTGCGCGGTAGTTTGATGGGCACGGAGCTGTTGAACCGGTCCGTGTTCCGCAGGTCGACCAGCATGGCCGTGTTAATCACCTGGGGCACTCCCTCCGGCTGGGAACAGAGGACGGTATATACAGTCAGTCGGTGCAGTCAGAAGGGTGAGGTTAATGCCTGAGTTGATCAAGTCAGACATGGAGCTGAAAAGCTATTAGGTACATGAATCATGTTTGCTGTGAAAGTCCATTGAAATTTAACGAATGGTCATGTGTAAACTCGTATTCTAGAGTATTCCCAACGGAAAAGGTAGCACCTTATCAGTCTATTCCACCTTCAATACCACAGACAGAGCGGCCATCCTTTCTCTCACGTCCTTCACCCACCCACCTTGACGAGCAGCTTCCTCTGCACGGAGTCTCCGGCGACGCTGGTGCGCGCCGTGACCTTGATGTCCACGTGGCCGAGCGTCTGGGGTATGACCATGAAGGTGACGCTAGCGCCGTCGTTCTTAGGCACCAGTACCTGCTTCTTGATAAACAGCTCCAGAGTGGGCGCTGTGAGGGGGAGAGCGGGGGGGGGGGGGGTGAGTTGTTTGATGTTCAGGGAGGGGCTCATGAGAAGACAGGAGAAGTGGGAGAGTTGTTTGATTATTCACCGAAGGGCTGATGAGAAGATGGGGGCGGTAAGAGCTAACACCTTTGAGAGGCCATGAATTCTGTACATGAACTCATAATAAACATCAGAGATTCATTGAGTTAGGCTTTAAAATATCATGAAATAAATTATCTAAAAACTTTCTGAATTTCAGTAGCAGAAAATAGCTTTACGCTAAATAATCCGATATTGATTCGTCCTTATTCTGTTGCATTCTAACATCATCATTGACAGTATCGATACAGAACTATCCCGTGAAGCCCCATCTTTCTCACCTTTCTTCTCCTCGCCCTCCACCTCATTATCGGCCTCGTCGCTGAAGCTGGTGAACTGCAGGTCTCCCTGGTGTTCGAGCGTCACCTCGGCAATCAGGTCCGCCTGGTGGTAGTTGAAGACGACGCACTGGATGCCCACCACCTCTCCGCGCTTCACGGCGTACGGCAGGTTCAGCGACACGAAGAACGGGCGGAACACCTGCAGCTGTGGGAGGGGGGGGGGGGGGCGTCAGGGCGGCTGTGGAGGCGCCGCAACTGTGGTATTGAGCTATAATACAGGCCACTTATGGACCATCATGGACATGAGTCACTTACAGTTCAGATAACACGAAGCTAGCATACCCGTTGTCCAGTTTATTAGCTCACTCGGTCTGCACGGTTAGCTCTGTCATCGGCTGGTGCTATCTCTCTACTGTGTGTTGCAGTCTCCATATACTGGTGCTATCTCTCTACTGTGTGTTGCAGTCTCCATATATGTTGATGTTTTCTCTCTACTGTGTGTTGTAGTCTCCATATAATGGTGTTATCTCTCTACTGTGTGTTGCAGTCTCCACTGGTGTTATCTCTGCACCGTTCGTTGCAGGCTTTATTAACTAATGCTATCTCTACTGTGCGTTGCAGTCTTCATGTACTGGTGATATCTCTCTGCTGTGTGTTGCAGTCTCCGTGTCTTAGTAACACCTCTCTACTGTGAGTTGCAGTTTCTTTATGTCGATAGTATCTTCCTGAACATACCTTCGACGGCCGCTCGGAGACGCCGAGGCCGTACAGGTTGTCCACGGAGAAGGCGGAGATCATCCACGAGGTGATGGTGTCGGGCGCCGTTTCACGCAGACGCACCTCGCCCAGCGTTCTGGGGCGGGTCAGGTCAGGTCAGGCAGAGTGTTGAGGGGACACATATCCGGAGATATCGGCGAAATGATACATGGTTATCGATTGAATTGAAAATAGTGTCGATAAGAATTTCAAGACGGTATTTTCAAATCGTAATTGTGAATACAAATAGCTTACGTTAAAGTTAGCGTTTTGTACAAATGAATATACATTATTTTCAAAAAAATATATGACAAAGTGGTACACGGGTTAGTGACCCGAATGTGAGTACACGATTGTTACACCAACACGGAAAGCGGGCACAGTTAGCAGTTTCTGAACCAGTGGCAAGCGAAGCATTAGCGTCCGGACCAGGCTAACAGGGTAGTCGAGTATACCTTACCGACAAGATGCACCTCCCATCCTACCGAGATCAGCCCTCCGTGCACCCCAGGGGTTATCAGAGGGAGAGGGCCTTACAACAGGTCGGGCCTCCGTGCACCTCAGGGTTATCAGAGCGAGAGGACCTCTCAGGGACGAGTGACGGGTGAGAGTTGCAGAAGTGAGGCAGATCGACCGAAATGGGAAGACGGTATAAATGTTTTTATTAGGAATGTTCATGGACTTTTGACGCAAGCGCAACGCAGAAGTTGTGTAATATTTCGCAAGAAACGGTTTGTGTTGATGATAAATAGACACTTACGATTGAAAAGACACAAACAGATCGCAAATCAGGCCAAGGAACCATATGGTTTTGGGTGGACATGCTGGCTAAACATTCGCCGACAATAAATGAGGGTACAAAGAGACGTTGATTCAGTCGACTGTCATGAAAAAAGGAAAGGGCTGGTAGGTGAGGATTTAGGGTACAGAGAGTGAAACCGGACAGGCAAACAACCAGTATTAATGTGGATTTATTTTATTTCGGACCTTTATGATGGTTAGACAAGGGGGATTATGTATAGATAATAGCCCTGTTTGCACGGCATTTCAACCATCCAGCATGCACAATGCAGACTTCTTTATTGGATTTTCAATCAAACTAGTTACTGAGCTGACGTGCACGGAACTTTTAGAATGGATCATGCCGATGCTCTCAGAATAAAAACCAGCACTACTGTGTTTGGAACATCTAAAATTTCGGGTGTGCCAATCAGCCATTGCAAATAATAGTCGCAAATTGTCTGTGGCAGTGGAAGTAAACCTCCGAGAGTGTATAATTTTGTTAGTTGACGAATGTGAGTCCCGTTAGCCATTCTACCAATGGCGGCAAAGGTCTGTGGCGCATGCTAGATGCAAGTCTAGCCCATCTCTCGCCAGCGCGTGCTCAGAAGACCTCTCTATTTCCCTCAGAGGTCTGTGAAATATCCACCGCAGATCCACCAGAGATCCAGTTCGGGTCCACAGCGGAGCCTCCACAATTCAGCCAGAGCTCCCTAGAAATGAGCCATAGATCCAGCCATAGATCCAGCCATAGATCCGCTCGCGATCCGCCCGCGATCCAGTCAGGTTTACCCTGAGTTGGTATCGTTGAAGATCCACACTCGCGGGGTATATCCACGGGGACGGAACGCGAAGTCTTGCGGTGGTGGCGGAGGGGGCCGCGGCCGTTTTAGAGGTGGCCGGATTATCGTTTTGCCCGGGGTGGCCATTAGCGGCACGGTGTCTGCAAGCAGTCACGGGGATTCAGTCGCCAGGCGGGACACTGGCGATCAGACAACAGACGGAGAGGTTCCTCAGCCCCTGTCTGGGTATTTGAACAGAGAAACGTTCATTTAGAGAAAGGAGCTTTCTGAGATTGCTAGTTAAGGGGAGAGCCAAGAGGAGAAAAGCGTAGAATTAGCGCGTTAGGAGAGATGTTTGGTGAGCGGTGAGATTTCCGACGGAGGTTTAGCGGCGCTGGTTAACTCTGGCGGTGTCAGCGGTTGGTGAGATCTCGGTGAGAGGTGAGACGACCGGCGCTGACGAGAGGTGAGAGCCGCGGACCTGGCCGGCCTCTGCACACCATGCTCCCGCCGCCCGCGTTAGCAGCGTCCCACCTCCGGCGGACCGCGCTGGCCGCCCGCGTCAGCAGCGCGCACCTCCTGCCGCTGGCGGCGGGCCTTACCCGGCCGTCGGCACGTCGGCGAAGATCCACGTGTTGGGCGGGTCCCTGACCACATTGACCCGCCGGTGATGGTAGAACGGCGGCGGGATCGTGAAAAACGCGAACGGCCCGGCCAGCGGCGGCCGGGTGACGGGCCGGTACTCGATGCCCGGCCCGCGGTCCGGACGCAGCTCCGTGCTCTCGTTCCGATAGACCAGAGGGCGGATGGGCCGCGAGCTGGGACGCTTACCAATCTCGGCGCCCTCCTCGCCGTCAGCTGCCGACGGACACGGCCGAAAACACAGACGCAGAGGTCACCGATAGGCGGCAGCACCGGCGCCGCGGCCCGGCCGGGATGGGAGACGGAATCAGCGGGTCGGATTGTAGCTGAGTGTGTCAGCAAGTCTTGTCGGGGTACTGCAGCGTCTGGTGGTGTCTGCCGGTCATCTCAGCTCCCCAGTTCCACTCCGTCGCCTTTCGTCAGCCCACCGTCCGTCTCTCTCGTCCTTTTCGTCTCCGTCTATCGTTTCCGTCTTTCCGTCTGTCGCAGTCATCTCGTATCGAGAAGTTCCTTGATTCCGTCATTCCGTCCATCGTCATAGTCTCTCCATCTGTCCTCGGTCGCTTTCCCTCCCATTAGCAGCGGTTAGAGCGGCGCGCGCAGCGTTATATGTACCCGGCAGCCGTGTTTGTCCAGAGCCACGTCTCGGGAAAGTTAGTTCGCAGCCGGCCACCAGAGGCGCTGCTGTCGCTGGGAGCCTCGCCGAAAGCAGCCAGGTACTGGGGCGGTCCCTGCTGCGGGCGGGGTCCCGCGCCGGCGCCGGCCGACCTGTAGTAGGCTGCACAGAGCGCGGAGAGTTAGCGGCGGGCCGGGAGAGTTACAGGAGGGTATGATCGGCCGTCCGGGCGTGTGGTGTCTGTGTGTTAGGTCGGGTCATCCCGTGAGACCAAAACCGGCCGACAGACTCCCAGACAAGCAGACGCAGTCTCAGAGAGCGGTCAGTGAAGGCAGCAGAAGGAACCGCAGACACCACGGACAATGCGCCCGGCACGGGGCCGGGGTAGGTGGGGGTGTCAAACAGACGGGGGGACAGACGGGGGGGGGGGGGCATGCGTCGGTGCCCGTCCCGGTGTGTGCGTCAGACTCGTGACCCCCCTCCGGACGTACCCCGCGGTCACGTTCGTCCACAGCCAGGTCTCTACAAAGTTGGAGCGCACGCGGGTGTCGGCGCCGTCGGCCGGCGGCCCGGTCGGACCCACCGAGCCGGGCTCGCTGGCCATGGGTACCAGGTCGTCTTCGCTGAGCGTGCGGTACCACACTGCCGCGGGCGGCCGTCATACAGAGATACAGACACACACAAACACAGACAGACATACAGACTGAGTGTGCGGTACCACACTGCCGCGGGCGGCCGTCATACAGACATCCATATAGACAGACACTGACATATAAACTGAGTGGGACTACACGACAAATTGACACAGTGGATAGTCAAAATGAACTTTGAACGGGAATGTGAATTCACCGGGCAAAGATACAAACACAGCAGACTGGTACGACAAGTAACAAACGGATAATCATGGTGAGCTATTGAGTTATTGAGGACACTACGGTAAACATGATAAAAACAATGATATCTCACTTGCCAATTTTCGACATCGTTTTGACGATAGCAGCCGAAGTTTTTAAAAAAGTCGCGAAAAATATCACAGGTAATGGCCTCTTTTTAGCTGAATAAGTGAAACTGACACGAAATAGAATGACGTGATGAATTTCCAGCATGATAGATATTTTACTAGGCACAGTCGTGGGCTAATTAACATTAATGCCGGTCATAACTTACACCTAAAAAACACGACAGAACGACTCTCGGACTCGATTGCATGACACTAATAAGGGACTTTCGGTAACTGACTCGCTAATCATACGCCTATAGGGTGCTCGTTGAGAAAGGTACTCACTCAGATGAAAGCTCTCGTGCACATACGCGTTTGTCAGCATGACAACGCCCGAATCCTGGAATAATAAAAACACCATTTTAAATTCAACGACAGTCATTCGTCGGTCAAAAATATGCTCAGTCACGTAAGCTCCACGTCTCCGCATGACACATCCAAAACAACTAGCTTATCATCTAATGATCGATCCCTAAGTCATCGCAGCATCGATGTTTTATTTCAAAAAGCGGCGTGTCAGATCAGCTGAGGTATTCAGGTTCTAGCACTGAATCTAACCCTAACCTAACCTATATTGCTGGCGTTCGAACTCACCTAGAAATAGTCATTACAATACCTGGCGAACACAAGAGTTCACTTCTGTATTAGTAGATCACCTGAGTGACGCTAAACCCCGAGTGAAACTCACCTCGAACACCTGACTGGCGGTGGAGGTGCCCGGCCAGAAGAACAGCGACCGTTTCTGCCTCTCCAGGTAGGGCAGACCGTCCGGCCGGCGGCCCGAGTCGTAGCTCTCCATCTCCTCATAGACGTCCGCCTGGGTAATGTCGTTACCCGACCTGATAGAGCGGTAACACAGATAGAGGTACGGGTTAGACATTGTAACGTCCGCCTGGGTAATGTCGTTACCTGACCTGACAGTGGTAACACAGATAGAGGTACGGGTTAGACATTGTAACGTCCGCCTGGGTAATGTCGTTACCCGACCTGATAGAGCGGTAACACACAGAGAGTTAGACATTGTAATGTCCGCCTGGGTAATGTCGTTACCCGACCTGATAGAGCGGTAACACAGATAGAGGTACGGGTTAGACATTGTAACGTCCGCCTGGGTAATGTCGTTACCCGACCTGATAGAGAGGTAACACAGAGAGTTAGACATTGTAACGTCCGCCTGGGTAATGTCGTTACCCGACCTGATAGAGCGGTAACACAGAGAGAGGTACGTATTAGTGACACATTATAACGTCCAAACATGGGTGATAGTGTTACCCGACCTGAGAAAACGGTAACACAAAACCGCATCAATAAGATACTCTCATTACCCACACACAACTGTAACACAGCAGTTCCTAGCGTGATCACGCAGCTAGCGTGGAATGTTTGGTAGTTTCATGGCACAGAATCAGACATGTGTTCCGCCTCTGTGACGGCGCCTGATCTCACTTGAGCACGGTGACGGCCTGGTCGATTCCCAGCACACAGACGTAGGAGTCGGGTCGCGTCTTGATCTTGATGTCCACCTCCTGACCGGGCTCGACCTTGTTGGCGCCCAGCTCAATATCCACCTAAAACATATACATGGAGAAACATCGATTAATTATCGGGCGTGATACAAATAAAAACAAACATCAAACAAACAAATACTCACTAGCGCTTTTAGATCGACATGTAAAAATATTTGAAATAATCAAAAACCTTCCGTGCAGTTCGTCAAAATAGAAAACAGCCAGGTCACAGCTATCTCCCCCTCCCCGACAAGCGTTTCTGGCTCACCGTGTTCTGGAATGTTCCCATGACGTCAAAGTCGAGCGCGTCGGCGACCACCTCTCCGTCCGGCAGGATGTGGTAGACGACCACTCGCGTGCGGGGCACCATGTCCTTCCGGATGGTGAACCTGGCGACGAAGGACGTATCGTCAGTGGGACGGTCCGAGTCTGTCATAGCTGCACCGCCGCACCTTGCTACATGTGTTAAAATTTAGTTTTTCTATTAAATCGTTAAATATTACGCGTTTTAATCTCGCTTGCCCGGCTTTCTTTACCCTTCATGCCAAGGTCGCTTCTCTCCCATCCTCTCTCCTTTTTTTTTCTCTCTCTCTCTCTCTCTCTCTCTCTCTCTCTCTCTCTCTCTCTCTCCCTCCCTCTCTCTCCCCCTCACCTGAACTGGTGTGTGGTCGCTCCTCCTGCGTTCATGGTCTCGGCGAACTGCAGCTGGCCCAGTCCGAGCACCTCGTATACGTACTGGTTCACCGGCCGGGTCGAGTTGATCCTCACAGTGACCGGCTGGCCCACCCGCGGCTCCTCCGTCTCCAGCGTGGCCTGGATGTACGAGTTGGACGGAGACAGCGCCTTGTTGACGGTCGAGAACCACTGGTTCACGCCCTTGTACTCAGCCTGTGGGGAGAGATGAGATTGAGGGGGTTAGAGACTTGTGGAAATGAGCTGGTGGGATGGGTTAGGGCGGAAGTGAGGGAGTATATCACGAAAGCCAATAATGAATGAAACAGCTCCAGAACGACGAACTAATGCTCTCATGCTGCCGTAACGCTGTGGCTCATTTTCGGGAGCGTACGTGTCGTTACAGTCGAAATTCCGACTGACTATAATGCCACCTTGATTCCGAGCGCAGACATACCTCTATGCCCAGCACGTGTGTGTCGTTATGTTCGTACCTCTGCCCAGCGCGTGCGTGTTGTTATTAGCGTTACTGTCGTACCTCGATCCCCAGCGAGTTCGTGTCGTTAGTATCGTACCTCAATTCCGAGCGCGTGCGTGTCGTTGTCGGCCGGCGGGAAGAAGGTGAGCTCGAGAAGGCCGTTGGACGGCACGTCGTACTCGGTGACCGTGTAGTTCTCGTGGTTGTACGTGTAGCCGTACTTGACGGTCACCTTGTCCCGGCCGCCCCGCACCGGCATGTCGTCCTGGGTGGCGAGCTTCAGCTGTGGGGCGCCGACATTATAGGTTATACTACGGAATGAGTTTACAGTGGGATTGATGGCGTATATTAGGGCTATTAAATGAATGCTGAGCTTTGGGCATTTATCTAAGTTGAGTCGTTTAAACAAAATTTCAGACTTCTAGGAAATAAAGATGGAAAATTATTTGAATATAAAACATCAGCTTCACACCGGAGCTTCATATATAAAACGACAATTTCATATCGGAAGTTTCACTGTATCTCAAAACGAAAACTTTTAAAAGACGATGGGTACAATTGCAGTGAGGCTTATCCACTTACGAACGCGGTGTACTTGAGTCCGGGTTTGAAGTTCTCGGCGGTTTTCACCAGCTGCAGGGTGTATTTGTGACGGTGGATGGTGGTGACGGCCGAGGCGTTCTGCGCGCGGCCCGTCAGCTCCTCCGTCACTATGACGTCAAACACCAGCTCCCGCTCGTAGTCCTCGTTGGTCAGACTGGGGTAAACGGGGGATATGACGTCAGGGAAAAGAGGGAGGTAGTGTTGCACAAACATGATACTGAAAAATTCATGTATCTAATTGATGAAAATTGAAAACTAAAACAATATTAAACTTGAGCTATTCAAGAACAAAAATTCAGCATTCGATTCGACACATCTGACGGTCACGTGTCCCTGTAATATGTTTACTCGCTAGTTACGCACTCTCATTGTCCTCTGAGGCCGTGCCTCTGCATACCAAATACCTATCCACCTCCATACCGGCACCTGAACGCCCCTGTTACTTTATTGTGCGACCCCTCCCCCCCACACACACGGGGTCAACATCAATTGTGTTCAGCGCACCTGACTCCATTTCCTCCCCTCCTTTCCTCTCCACCGCTGTTTGTGTGCAAACTAGCACTGCCCTTGAACCAGCAACCGCCATAACACCGCTCTCACAACCCCAACCCTGCACACTACCCCGTAATACTGCTCACACCGCTCCGACAGAGCTCACTGCTGCCTTTCTCACACCGCTCTAACTTCTAACCCTTCTCAAACCTCTCTGACCTACCCGAGCTCGTCCTTCAGGTTGAAGGTGACGTCGGCGGTGCCGTCAATGGGTGCCGACTTCCGCACAGGGTCCTGGAAGATGGGCTGTAGGTAGGTGGACTTGAGCTCCGGGTGGGCACGGACCATCACCTCGCCTCGCACCGCCTTGCCGTACGTGTACCTGGGGAGGGGTGAGCGGTGACTGTGGGGAGAGGGGAGTATGAGGAGATGGGGAGTGAGACTTCTAGCATCGTCGTAACAAGGAACAGTAGCCTGCAGCAGAACACGTATTAAATACAAAGTGAGAACCTCATTAGATTAAAACTGTCAGTCGTCTACCAACTCAGCTCACTGTTTCTCACTGCTACAGTGAACCTGCAAGTCCCGTCTATTCCCTCACCATATCATTCCCTTCTAACCTCCCAGTCTGCAGCTCCAGTCTACTGTAAAACTCCCGAGCCTGTGTCCCTCTCCCCCACTCACTTGGCGTGTACGGTGGCGGTGACGCTGGTGTCGTCAAAGGTGGCGTACGGCGGCAGGTCGATGGTCACCTCGAACCGCGGCAGCACGTACTCGGCCACCTCAAACACCTTGCTCGTCCGCTGGCCCAGCACGTCAATCTGCGAGTGAGCGATGTAGACGAAAGGGGTCAGAACGGAGACTGGAGAGGGACATATAGGGAGGCGATCAGTTTTCGCGAGTTATTCGTTGCGGCAGAGTCTAATGACGACTCCGGGAATCAGCGAGAATTTAAAGTTGAAATGATGTTTTCCATACATCAGCAATGAACGTTAAGTTGCCATAAGTTTAAAACCAATCGCGTGACGAAAAAAAAAAGTGGTATAAAAGGTATGTTCGAAACACAATTCAGTCGTCTTACCGTGAGGCTCCAGCAGCCTTTACAGTGATATTCCAGCCGTCTTTCCGTAAGCTTATAGCCGTTTTACTGTAAGTTTCCGGCTATTTTATCGTGAGGTCCCAGCCGTCCTACAACCTTAACGTGAGGTTTCCGCCGCCCTATCGTCTTACCGTGCGGTTCCAGCCGTCCTACCGCCTTACCGTGCGGTTCCAGCCGTCCTACCGCCTTACCGTGAGGTTCCAGTAGTCCTACCGCCGGCCTTACCGCAAGGTTCCAGTCGTTTGATCATCTTACCGTGAGGTTCTAGCCGTCCTACCGCCTTACCGCACGGTTCCAGTCGACCTACAACCTTTCCGTGAGTTTCCAGCCATCCTACCGCCTTACCGTGAGGTCCCAGCCGTCCTACCGTCTTACCGTGAGGTTCCAGTCGCCGAGGACGGGCTGGTCAGACAGTTGGATGGAGTTGGTGAACACGCCGTTAGTGGTAAACTGACGGTCCCACTGCTGGATCCGGTTCCCCTTTCCGTCCTGCAGACAGACACACAAACAGACAACAGTCAGCGACTCTCGAGACACACCCACATACACACAGACAACAGTCAGCGACTTACAAAACACCATCCCCATTCAACATACATACACACAGATAGCGGTCAGCGGCTTTCCAAAGACGAGGCGAGGGATGGCATGGATTGGGGTCGACGGAAAGCGAAATGTAGGTAATTAATACGACATAATGAGCACGGAATAATTAACGCGGCTTATCACGCTTTCAATTTGGCTAAGGAGTTGCGTTTGGAGCCTAGCTAATAATTGTTGCGAGGCGAGAGCAGGATACACTGCTAAATTGGAGCGAAATCTCGTTATCTGAGGGCTCAATTATCACGAGTTCATATCCAGTTTAGGTCATGATTTAGCCATCAGCTTTGTTGCGACTGCAGTATGACGATACAAAGGGAAAGTTGATTACCACAACGGGGATAGAACTAGCGATGAACGCTGGAAATGTTGACCATATGGCTGCAAAAGTGGGCGATTACGGCGGCACCCATTTGAATTACTGCTGTCCAGTTATGAACCTCGCATTGTAAACCGGCAGAACATGCCGCATCGGGCTGGCAGTGACAGTGCCGATGCAGTCTTTTTTCATAAAATCACACTCAAATACTTAACCCTATTCCTGGCGGGCTCCGCCGGGACAAGAAACTGGCGGGGGGGGGGGCCGATTCGGCCCCCCCTGAGATCTCGAGAACGAAGCAAGATAGCGACAAACGGTAAACGGCATCGGATACGCACGGTCAAGATCTACAATTTTTACTAAGGTCATTTTCAGGTCAGGTCAAAGATGACGTCACAGGGGTCGAAAAAGTCAAAATGGCGGCGCTAGATATGGAGTTTTTCTCGAATAACTTTCGAATTAGTCAAGATAGGAACAAACTAAGGGCATCATCGTGATCCTCTCGTCAATCCGCATCGAATGATATATATGTTGACCTCGCAAGGTCAAGGTCAAAGGTTGACCTCAGGTCACGTGACCTCGAGGTCATCATGTATATCATTCGATGCGTCTTGACGAGCTGAACACAATGAGACCATCCACGCGTCTGTATCTTGTTCCTGTACGGAGTTATTGGCCAAAAACCTTTGGTGACCTTTGATGACGTCACATGACCTCACAGCTGCCCAACAGCAAAACAGACCTCAAGGTAGTGAAGGTTGATCGTATATGAAGTCATGTATGGTATATGGGGCCATTCCGACCCGTTTTAGTGGTAAAAACAGGGAGTTGATTTTTCCCCCATTGACTTATAATGGGGAGGTCGCGAAACTGACCTGACCTTAGGTCACCGATATCAAAATTCCGAGATATACAAATTGCACATACTGGTACCCTAACTAAAGCCTGAAGAGAAGAAATTGATCGGTCAAAAACTCTAGCTCTGGCGTGATTGCAAACTTTTCTGAGGTAGGGTCACCAAACCGCCTCTGGTGACCTGACCTGAGGTCAGATCAACTCAAAATTTTCAGACATGTTGCGTAGAAGCCTTTTAGGAAAAGTCAGAAAATTTGAGCTTCCTAGCTCAACGCGTTTGGGAGAAATAACCAAAAAACCTCAGGGGGGGGGGGGCTCCTGAGGCCCCCCCGCCAGGAATAGGGTTAAGATATTGCGAATTACTTTAATTGAGTGTCGAGTTGATTCACGGTATTCTATATGAATTCTGAAGTCAAGCGACTTCATTTCTAATCCGTCCCACTAACGAAACGTGATTCACTCAGCTAACAGGACTCGCCGGAACGAGGGGATCTATTCATGACCTCCCTCATGTTTTATTCGCCTCTCTGCTTTTCCGGTTATATTGTTGCACCCATGACAATCCACATGTCGCGCATTATTATGCAACAAAAACAAGATCCGGTCCGCACTGCAGTCTGATTCACTGAGAGAGTCATGCAAACTGCGCCATTCAAACAGCGTCACAAGTCGGGTCCGCTGAACAGGATCCGTGCATGGTGACCTGACCTACCATGCTTGGCTACGGAGTTTAACTAGCGGTTTGCATTCTTCTGAGAACAATGTCTAAGGTACAGGCGGGTGCAGTACAGTACTCGGTACGGGAACAATACTCAGTAGGTACTCACGGTGACCCAGGCGTTGAGGTTTCCGGCGGTGTGCGGTCGCAGGCTGGGGTTCAGGACGACCGCCCGGAACCGCACCAGGTCGCCAGGCTTGTAGATGGCCTTGTCCGTCTGAATGAACACAGAGTACGACTTGTGCACGTACTCCAGAGCCGTGGTGTTCTGGAAGCTGAGCCCGCCCTGGCCGGCGGCCGTCAGGTTGTACCGGCCCGGGCCAAGGTCACCGATCTGCGGGCACAGGTCACAGGTCAACGATATGGGGGCAGAGGTCAGAGGTCACCGATCTGCCGGCAGAGGTCACAGGTCAACGATATGGGGACAGAGGTCAGAGGTCACCGATCTGCCGGCAGAGGTCACAGGTCAACGATATGGGGGCAGAGGTCAGGGATCACCGATCTGCGGGCAGAGGTCAGAGGTCACCTGTTTAAAGACAAGGGTCACAGGTCGCTGATTGGTAACAGTTCACCAGATCAACGGTTACATAAAAATATGAAGCGGTGTTCGCGAGTTGCGACCGCGCTGCAATGAGCATGGCCGCAGCGGGCAAGGAAAACAAGACCCGTGTAAGGCACACTTTTCCCCCGGCATAACTCTCAGACTCGAGTTCTTGAACTACATACCTACCAGGAATTGCACATACGTGTTCGACAACACACCTTTTCAAAAATGGATATAAACAATACAGGAAACGCGCCCTTACAAGGCTTACATAATTCCTGGTACCGTAAAGATAGGCAATGGACTATTTGGATTGGAACCCCTGGCAACAGTTTAATCCAATCAGGAGCACGCTCGACCGCCTTTTTTAGATGTTATGTAATAAGTGGCTACCTTGACTGCTTGCAAACAATAAAACTCAATTACATTCTCTCAAAATGCACAGTAACCATAACCAGTCCGACCACCCCCACCCCTCCTTTCCCCTTAAAGCCTCACCGAGCCCAGTGCTCCCCTCCATCCCCTCCCCTTCCCCTGCCCTCCCCGCCCCCCCCCCCCGCCCGAGCGCGACACTGACGTTGAAGGTGGTGAAGGTGGTGACGCCCGGCTGCACCACCACCTCCTTGGTCTTGAGTTCGTTGCCTCCCGAGTCGGGCCTACCGCCGACCTGCACCGTGACCCGCGTCGGCGCCGTCGTGTCCAAAATGGTGATCGCCACGTTGAACGGCAGGTTCGGACGCAGAACACGCGGCGCCACGATCGTGTAGGTTCTGTGGGAGAGGGGAGCACGGGGTTACATAAATGGAAAGGATGATTATGCCTTTTTTGCGGGGGAGTTAACAAATTAACAATGAACACAAACTCGAAAAATATTCGTATATATTGTCGGTATTAGTGATGCCGTTTATGCAACTACAAACAAAATATACAGCGTTCAATCGAGCTATTGCTTGCGAAAAAAGCTGACGGATCACGGCAGCGCAGCTAAGAAGCTTCTCTTACGCTCCGGAACCGGTTAGTTCATTATTCACGTCACGTATGTTTTTCTCCAGCGCGGTTTGCCGGCCCGGCGGTTCTGAATCCCGCGCAGTTCGGCCTATATCCGGCACCTCCCACGCGGCTGGTCAGTTCTCCCCGGCGCGTGTTTTCCGTGTAAATGCCGGCGGGTTTCCTGTGTTCGGCTGTTCGGCAGGGCGCTGCTCGGCTCGGTGGCCAGCCTTCCTCAGCCCGCCGCGGCTGACCACCCGCCCGCCGTGGGCGGAGGAACCGGCCCGCAGCGCCAAACGAGGACTGCAGCACGGGTCCGCTCCTCCGGGCGGCTGCTCAAGGTCCGGGCTCGCAACGGCCCGGCGGCAACGGCCCGGCGGCGGCTGCGGCGGCCCGCAGCGGGTCCCGGTGGGCGCCCGGACTGCTCGGCAGACTGCCAGGTATGAGGGCGACCCTCAGGGCCAGTTCTCCCCCGTCACAGCGGAGGGTATGAGGGCGGTCCTGACGAGGTCAGAGCTTCCGTAGGCAGCTGGCAGACAGAGGGGCAGGTCTGGTCTGACAAGATCAGAGACTCCCCCATCGGGCTACCAGACATAAGTTAACACCTGCTGGAGGTAGAGCTCCTTTCGAATGTTCCCGACAAATAAGACGGCCCCGCAGCACAGGGCCTGGGAAGACAAACCTGCACAGATAGCAGGTCTGCAGTGGTAGGCCATCCTGTCAATACATCGCTCTAATCTGGGCGTCTCGGCCGACACGGGCTCACAGCCAAGGCCGCTCGGCCCACGGTGCATAAATGGATGGTGGGCGGGTCAGACGTGACGTAAGCTCTGCACCAGGAAAATATCGGCCAGGATGTCCCAAATTGGGAGCACCGTGACAGACACGGTAGCCGAAGTTCAATCAGTGTGGCACGGGGCCACCACGAGTGCCGTCTAAAGCCTTGGAGCTAAAAGCTGGCTAATTACAAGCAGAACAAACCTTGCAAACCAAACCATCGGATGTTATTTCCAAGAAATTATCAACCCCTATTGAGAGGCAAGACGATTAAGGCAAAAAAGAAAGAGACAAGAAATGAATAGAGAAGATAGTGAATGGGAGAGCACAGAAGGAAGAGAGAGAGAGGGAGGGAGAGAAAATGAGGATACTTAAGGACAGAGAGAGAGAGAGAGAGAGAGAGAGAGAGAGAGAGAGAGAGAGAGAGAGAGAGAGAGAGAGAGAGGGGGAGGGAGAGAGGGAGGAAAGAAAGCCGCTCCACCCAGACCTAGATACATATCCGCAATCTCAGTCGCCGTCTACGACACGCCCCTGAGCCACCGGTCAGTCAAAGCACCAGCTGACACCGAACTGCAGCTGTCGGAGCACCAGCTGACAGCAGCTGCAGCTCTGAAAACAGCTGACAGCCGTCTGACGGCAGCTGCAGTTAATTCCAACCGACAGCTGTGGGCCGTGTGACACCATTACGCCCGAGTGACACCATCTGACGCCCCCTGCAGGTGTCACTTCTGACAACATCTGGGTGACACCTCGGTCGCCAACGCCCTGCCCAGCCGGGCAGCTTTCTCGTTCCCTTCGACTGGTCGGAATAGATGGCAAGGAATAATGCAGGAGAAAGAAACAACGAGCGAAACGTCCGGGGGAGAAACCACAGCGACAACGTGAGACATGCAGGTTTCCGCGTCGCAGAACAAATGCGTTTCACGCTTTGTTTTCGTTTGAGGAAGATGCATTAATCTTCATAAAGACACCGTTTCAAAGCCTTGAAGTCCAAACGTTGTCGGTTGCTAGAAACACTCAGTAGGATGTTGATTTTTTATGTTTCCAGAATCCACATGACAATAATAAAGACGCTCAATGGAATGTGTCGTTTTGATTATTTTCATCAAATATCCGTAATATCTCTTTACCAAAGACGTTTTCATAGCTTCAAAACATTTACGCAAACAGACCATAAACAAAGTCACAAATGCAGCTCAGGTCACCGACCCATCAGACTGCTGAGTCTTCACACACGGGCGTTCCAGTGCCGTCCCCGGACAGCCAGCCGCAAAATGTGGCGCAACTGAACAGATGACGCTCGCGCCGCGCGCAAATTTCTCCTTCCGGCGCGCGTGACGCGGCCGCAGCGGGCGGGGCGCCGGGCTGACTCAGCACGACTCAGAGTCAACCTGCTAGCTCACTCGGAACGGAGTCATTGGCCTACCGAGATCAGCGGATAGTCAACGATGCACCGCCGTCTGAAGAGTCGTCCGAAATCGATAAGGCTGAGGGAAGTGAACCGGGCATCGTAAACGGCGCGCTCATTATAATTCGTTGGCGACTCGTCCCGTCTATTTCACAGTTGTGAGTTTTGGGAATGTTTGAAGATTTATATCACAAAATGAATGACGCCTGTGTTATGCAATATCCATAAATGTAACCCATTTACTGCTTCAAGTCACATACACGCCATTTCAACTATACCCAACCCCTCCCTGGGAGAGAGAGAGAGAGAGAGCGGACCGCTGGGAACGGCAGGAGAAAACGTGGGAGAGCGAGAGGCAGAACGCTCGGGAGCCCTCCCGCAGCAGACGGCGTGGTTCGGCAGGCAGCGAGCGGCGCACCAGAGGCGTAGGTGACGCACCAGAGGCGAGGAGTGACGCACCGGGGAGGCAGCAGTGACGCACCAGTCTCGTCACGCGGCACGTGGGTGACCCACTGACTCCAGCTGCGTCACCGCTATCAATACGACAGGGCGAGACTCAGAACACGAACCAGTAATCGAGAGAAGACCATCCGATGTTTAGACGGGACGTGTTGGCGGTAGATTGATGGTTTGAAACCCGATCGATCGATTGATGACCCATGACCGCACGATTCACTAGTTTTTTTTTCTTCAAATAATTATTTATGATTCGAGGTAAAAAATAACGGATCTGCCAATGGAACGAAGATTCAAACATAGGTAAAAATCATTTTTATTAATTTATACACGAGGGATGAATTTATAGAGAGATCAGGTAAGAAGCCAGATAGGACGATCAATTGAATGAGGGTTTTATTTTAAACATTGATGCTTACACAATCCCCCAGCCACTTATGTGAGATATCATCTTGGTACTCATTCCAGAGAGGCGCCGTAACAGCCAGAGATGTCTCCGTGGGTGACGTCACTTTCAGACAGGATGACGTCACCGTCAAACGTCATCAACTCGCGGAACAGCCTCTCCCCGATCAGTCCCACCGCTCGAGACTGGCACTAGGCTGGCCGAGCAAAAAAAAAAAACAAAAAAAAAACGGGAGGCCACGCGGAGTCGGCACCGGCAGGATGCAATGATTCAGAGTTCAGAATGAACTTAGACCAGAAGCTTACTCACAAGCGATTGTCGATCGCAGGGGCGTAACTTTGTATACTTTTGGGGAGGCAGGTGCCCCCCCAACTTGAAATTCTGCCACCCCAACATTCCGTTTGCCCCCCCCCAACCTTGGTGGGCGCCCCCAGGCCCGAAAGGCGCCCTCACGGGCCAGCGGCGTCATAGGAGCGCGTGCGCCATCTTTCAAGGGGGCGCCATCGCCTATATGGAAATGGGATGCGTGAGAGGGGAACCTCTGAGGCCGTGGGGGCGCCTGTATGCGAAAGAGGGGCGCCCATGAAGTCCTCAGGGGCGCCTCAATGCAAAACACGGGCGCCTGAGATGGCCACAGGGGCGCCTGCATGCGAAAGAGGGGCACCTTATTGGCCTCTGAGGCCCTTCGGGGTGCCTCTGAGGTCTATAGTATAGGGGGCGCCCACATGAAAAAGGGGCGCCCATTAAGGCCATAATGGCGCCCCAATACGAAAGGGGGGAGACTGCATGCCAAATGGGGGCGCCTCCGAGGCCCATAGAAAGAGGAGCTCCAGTTGAAGCCCAAAGGGGCGCCTCAATGGGAATTAGAGACGCCTGTGAGGTCTACAGGGGCACCTCTGATGCCCATGTCGAGAGAGTCGTCAGTCGTTTGTGTAACGTTCCTCAGGGATGGTGCGCCGCTTGCGGCAAGTAAAAACTTAGCTAAATAGCGTGCCCCATTGGTTAAAAAGCGCCCCTCGAGCCAAAGTGGTGCCCCTCTGACAACACGCACGTCTTATGTCATCTGTTTTGCTAATAACTAATGCCCCCGCATGCAGAGCGGCGCCCCATCCGTTTATCAATGTGACCCTTCAGGTGGATGAAGCGCCCCTCTGGCCAATACCTTATCATCATTGTTGCTAGAACAGCGCCCCCAGTCCGTAGACTGCCCCATTGGCTCCTGAAGGCGCCCCTCGTGCCCGTTTTGGCGCCCCTCTGCACTGAGTAATGAAATGTATGTGGCCTACCAATTCTTAAGGGCGCTCCTTGAGTCATAATCATCGCTACTCGGGGAGGGGGGGGGAGGCTAGAGGGCCTAGATACCATAGCACGCTATAGTGTGTTATGGCATCCCTGCTGCTAAAACGGCACACTTTTTTTTTTTATTCAGGCCTCCCTCCAACGGGCACTTGTGGCCCAATTACAGGAGGGCTCCTCCTCCTTCTGGCCCTTGTTCCCCCACCCCCCAGGCTACGGCTGAAGTGGGAGCCTACCCCACACCTGGTGACACAGCCGGGGACGACGCCCGCGGAACGGGCGGAACCGGGAATCGAACCCGAAACCCGGCACCGCCCGCACCGCGGGTCGACGCCTTAACCGACTGCGCCACCAGGGCCGCTAGGTTAGCCACTTAGCTAGGTTAGCGCCTCAACGGTTCATACAAGCGCCCCTCGAGCCGAAGTTCGCGCTCCTCTGAC